CGCCACAGAACCGAGGATGCTTGTGTGCCACCTTGTGTGAGTCCAGCCCGGGAGAGGCTAGCTGTTAGCGAGCCCGGCTAATCCATGTGTTGGCACGGGCCCAGTGCGTGGCCATGTGTTCCTGCAGAGAGCAGCATTCCCCCAGGAGCTGCTGTCAGCACAAACTCAGGAAACAGTTATACTGTTCATATTTTTACAAGCTGCCTCTATGTGCAGCTAAAGTGAATCATAAGCTAATCATTGCCAGCTGCCTCCGGCCCTGCTCACGCTGCTCTCCAGCCCGCTACCTACTCAAGCTCGAGGTATGAGGGGAATCTTTCATATGCCGCATTAATCTCTCCCCCCCTGAAATTCATCTTCACTGACCATCCTCTGCTTTTTCCAGGCAGTTCACACAGTCTTGTAATGAGAGAGCTATTTGACCACTGACCTGATGATCCCTGAAGGTGGAGGGAACATGAAGGTGAAGCTGTCAGTGAAAGAGATGTGGAAAATTCTCCTCTGTGCTGCTGAACTTTGTAAACTTTGACCATTTTTGCAAAAAAGTTAGTTACAGCGAGAGATTTTCAACAAGACAATAAGAGATCAAAAACTTCTGAGAAAGTTCTGCAAAGTTCTAGTGATGTTTTCAGCGGGAAGTTTCCTTTAATTCCCCAGATTGTTCTTCTTAAACACGAGCTAAAGTTCTCAAAAGACGCTCTAAAAATGTTCTGAAAGTTGCATTTTCTTTCTAAAAGAGCTTCCTCAACAGCAACGTCCCCAAAACACCCTCAGAATATCGCAGGCAGAAAGTTCCACCTTTGTTAATACATCAAAAACAAAAAACACATTTCGTCTTCTTGAAGCCTCGAGAACATCTTGAAAACATTTTACCGAATGTTGGTTTGAGAAGTTTTGTTATCATGTAACATAATCTGACAACATCCTCCAAACATCCTCTGAATGTTAAAACGTTCTGTCTTAGTTCACTTTCAACCTCGTGGTAACATTATTTGAAATGATAAATATCCTTCAAACATTCTTTGAACATCAGATTAAAAATGTTTTCGTCTTTTCAAACATTACTAGAACTTGTAGGTGATGTTGTGGACGTCTCCTTCTTTCCTTATGGTTTGTGACGCCTCCATTGTTGCGAACTCTGACGAACACCAGCTCGAGCGGTTTGATTAATTTTTTGCGACTTCAAAAAAGCCTCACCAGAAGACGACTCAGGAGAAAGATTGTTCTTGCATAATTTGTCAACACAGTGTCCTTTAACTTCGATCCACTTGGCCCACTGATGTTTAAGCTCCTTTTGCAAATGTGATGATGAAGTCATGCGTGCTCCTTAACAGCAAGCATGACTTCATCATCACTCTGGGAAACAGATAGAAGTCAGATGGTGCAGGTCGGGAGAAGCAACAGTTCAAAACTACATTTGGTTGCTTCTGCTGTGTGGACGGACACACTGAAGCAAAAGCACTCCGAAGAATTGCTCTCTATTTTTTCTTGATTGCTTAAAATATTTGAGTTTTAGTGGACAGAGATATAAGGCTTTATAGCGCACCGTTACACCGCGAAATGGGAGTTATGCCCCTTGTTTCCAGGTGGAGCCATAAACTACCCTTCTATATTAAAACCGGCCTTCCTGGAATTGAGATTTGTGACTAAACGGCCTGAACTGTTGGAAGCTGCCCTGAGGTCACACAAGGTCGGACAGAACGCCTCTTCGGGCGTGTGCGCACAGACGTCGAACACATTACAGCTCGTCTTATTAATATGGATCTGCCCGCGAAGTCTCGACCGCCTGTACGGAGGCACGATGGGATGGAAAGAAACCTCGAAGATTCATGAACAGCGCTGCTCTGCTGCTCGTTCATCTTCCTTCACCTGCAGCAAACTGTCCCACCAGGGAGCAGGGATCAGACCTCGTCCTCCGCCCCCCCTGCCTCCCCCCTTGTTGCAGCCGACCAGTAAGCCCCTCTGATGGATGATGGGGGGCTCCTCTGGCGCGGATCGGTGGGAACGCTTCTGGTTCTGGTTAGCAGACTAAAACACTGCTTGAGAGACAGACTGCAGCATCCTGGCTAAAGCTAAGCTAAAGCTAAGCCAGCCCTGCAGGCCCCCGGTGTGATATTTTTGAGGCCCTGAAAGCCCTCAGTTAGTCCTAGAAAGATAGCTGCCCCCAAAACAAAAAGGATCCATCTTTAATCAGTGTCCTCTTTGGAGGGATTCCGACAGTAAATCATCTTTTCTTCGAGTTTGGCGCTTAATTGAAGGCTGCGCGTTATTAACCGAGCGCCACGAAATGAGCGACTGGCCACATGCTGCCATGAGCGAACGCCTCAAAAATGCCTTTGTTTGGGTTTTACGAGATTGACACTCATTTTTTTCCTGCATGATTGGGGAATGATAATGGCTGGAAGACAGACAGTGTAGAGTTACGAGCCGTGAACGTCCCCCTTCAGAGCAGGAACTCTTAATGTAGCTCTGTGCCGCCACTCTAATTCAATTAGCCCGCGTCAATCACTGCCGAGGTATCAAACCACCTCAGACTAATATTTGCAGAGGGGCTCTAATATCAATACGCAGGTAAAAGGGCAGCGGCCTCCCTCCCATCCATCCCCTCCTCTGCAATTATATAACCACACATGGCCGAAGCAGTGAATGACAACATTTACCACCCATCTCTCCGAGAGCGCGGGCCGCCATGGTCGAAACAGCCGCCTCTATGAGAGAGGCCTCGTGCCACGGCGATCGCCAAATGTATTTTAACTGGCATATCTTAATATTAGCTTCAGAAAAATGACACTGGTATTTGCAAAGTAAAAGGAGTCTAAATGGCCCATTTGAGCCAGAGTAAACACATTTAGCCATGAGGTCAGAGGCTGCCACACTAGAGGCAGGTTAGTTTGATAATTTTGTCAAAATGTTTAATGTCCTGCTAAACCGTTTGGGAAAAACAAGTGCGGCGCTGATATTGACTTTGGCAGCGGCCTGTATACTCAAGGCTTTAAACATGTAAATCAAATGCTCCATCTTCGGGCAAATGCAAGTCGACGTTTCATGCTCGGCTAGTGGCGGGCCCTCGCCACAGCCCGCTCTCTGACTCCTCCGTCTATACAGCGCGCGATGAACAGATAAGACAGTGTGTAGGTGCACTCGTGAGTGCTTTCGGGGGCAAACATCTTGATTCGATGAAATCTGTAAATTTGGAAATTGCTGCAATTTTAATGCAGCGTTGTCATCGCATCAGTAGGAGCTTGAAGGTGGGGAAGGAAAGATATACATGAACAAGGGAGATGACTTATTTGGGCACTTAGGTTACATATGTAAAGAAAAAAAAAAGGGAAGGGGTTCGCACCACACACACACACACACACACACACACACACACACACTCTGAATGATCAGCTGTTCCTCATCAAGCACATAAAGGAACAAACCTCACATCCAATATGTCACCCTGGATGTGAAACTCCCCCTACTAAGGTCCCTTTTCACTTTCCATGCCCGTCCTCGCGCCGCTAATTGTGCGTGCTGTCGAGCAAAGAAGCACAGAGAAACCGCAAGGTAATTTGGACGGCGCTCTCCCTCTCTGCTTTCAAGGCTTGAAACAACACACGGCCTTCCAGATGCTTCCAGGCCCGACCCAAAGCGCTGCTCCGGACGTTTACATCCAGACGGTTTCGCCGTTAGGCCGCACTGTTTGTGCTGGATGTCTGCTGTAGCTCACACACCTCCCCTCCCCTCCCCAATCACACGCAATCATGTTCGTTTCCTGCACTGCTACTAAATGTAAACCCACACACAGAGACACACAGTAAGAAAGACATCAAACCTCATGTGTTGTATAAACTCAAGTGCACACACAGACACCCAAAGAAAGCATGTTTATGCAACACAATCACTTCTGAGTTTATGATGCTTGATTCCATCCACTCTTTCTCAATGTTATTAAACTGTAAAAAAGACTGTTTTTCCTTCTCTACCTCCCCGGTTCTTTTTAGACACATCGCTCAGTACAAAGTGTGCCTCCTGACGACACTCTGTAGCTCCGCAGGCTCTCCGGGGAAATCATCGGCTTTAATCAGAAACATGCTGCGCCTCACACGCGCACATACGTACATAAGGGAGCAACAGATACATGAAAAGAGCTGGAGTGTCCTTGAGCAAGGCGGTTACACCTCTACCAGGCAACTTTGGGAAGATGTTGCAGTTAATCAGTGCAAAAGATGTGGCACGAATACCAAAAAAAATACTGAATTGTCTTTAGTTTTATTGTTTGTTTCTTCAAAAGCATCTCCAGATGTTGCTATTTTCATAATTACCTTAAAGATGCATCATCATTGTTGATGGTTTCTATTTGTGTTTGAGGTACACGATGCTCTATGAAACACCTTCTGTTTCCACACGGAATCTGTCAAAGATGATACTATCCCACCGCGTTGATAGTTTACTGTCATCAAAGCGTGAATCACGTCCGCCCCGGAGTCGAGATGTGTCACGATGACCGCGTGGTGACCAGCGTTGCCTTCTCTTCCCGTGAGGGACGTCTTACGGGTTGAGAAGTTTGATTTTTGTTTTCAGTGAGAGAAGCCAAATGGGTTTGTCAGCGGGACACACGAGGCTAAATATGATCTAAGAGGGTTCGGCCTCCGGGATGATAAGTGGGTGAAAAAACAATGGGAGCAGCGGGTGAAAGGTTTAACGGAGGGGGAGAGTTCACTACGGGTCACTGACCTTTGTGTATTTCTGAGGATACACATGAACATACACAGGACCTTAAAATTAGCTCTAAATTTCATATATCTGGTTTTAGTGCCTGCTGGGGGGGTGACAGGACCGTGACGAAGCCTCGCATGCTCCCTTGTAGGATTTTCCACTGATTTATGTTTACATGTCCCACCCTGCTGACACATTTCTAATTCTCCCACCCTTCTCGGTGACCCGGACCATCAGAGCATGACGCATCCCCAACATCTGACTGATCTCCGGTTTGTTTTCCACCGAGGACTCACCCGTCTCTCGCTCCGTCCATGGCAGCCAGCGGCGACAGGTGATGGGGGCTGCCGAGGTCCCGATCCAGCCGGTGCTGCCGGGAGGAGGGCAGGTCGGCGGCGGAGGCGGCGGCGGCGGGGTTGGGGGTCGGGGAGAGGAGCTCCACCGGGGCGCTGTGATGAGGGGTGCTGGAGCCGGCGTACAGGCCTGAAAGACAAACAAAGCGAATTCAGTAAAATGTGCCAAATACGCTCAAGGGTTTAACTTTCCTTTGAGCCAATTAAAAGTCATTTCGTGGCAACGGGATTTTTTGTTTTGACAACCTTCATCCAATCAGAGCGTTTTGTGAAATCAAATGTTCTGTTTGTGCTGGTTGTAATTTAGGGTACATTGTTTGCGCTGCCACGGGGATTGGCCCCATTTGTCCTTTCAGTTATTTTTTTCTTCTTATTACGCAATAATAAACTAAAATGTTGCATGTGTTTGAACAGTAGGGCATTTAAAGGGAGGAATATGGTGATTTTTTTTATTTATTTGCTGGCTAACTCTAGTCCAATATATCTTTAACTTTTTGATCATTTTTATATGACATTTGATTTACATTTCATTATTTTATACTCATGCCGTCTGCATGTTGCCAACTTCTACTACTGTTTCAAGCTGCAAACTATTATTAAAAACTGATTCAGGATGCCATGCAAACCAGGGACTGCAACTAATATTTGTCCCTATTTTTTAAAAATTTTTTTGTTATTAATTCTGAGAAAATGCAATGTCCATAGTTCCCAAAGCCCAAGGGGACAGCTTGATTTTGATTGGTCCATCTGATCTGTAGTTTCAAACTGAAAGGTGTTCATTTCCTCATTTTAAAAAGATAAATCATAGGAATGCTGTAAATGTTTTTGCGTGTGTGTCTAGAGAATTACTTTTCTCTCTACAATTCTGCTGCATTGCTTCTGTCCCCAGCAAACGGTAACCTTTTGGGGATGTCCTCTAAAGGTTCCATTAATGTTACTGAGGGTTACTGTCCTGCAGTCCACATTGAGCTGCACATTCACAGCACATTCATGGAACTTTCTCTGAACGTTCCCTGATGGCTCCCTCACGTTTCAAAAAATTGTAACCTTCAGGGAATGTTCAGAAAACTTTCTCTGAACGATCCCTGTGGGTTCTCTGATTGTTACCACCATAAAAAAAAAAGACAAAGTGCATAAATTAGTGAGGATGTGCAGATATACTGTGGAGCGACCTGCAGGACGAACACAGGTGGAAATGTTGGATCTGGCAGGTGCATAGCCTGTTTGAAAATGATACAGGAATGCAGGACTTCATCTCCTTTTTATGTGCAGAGTGTAATGTTATAATTTTGTGTACGAATGTGTGTGACATTTAGTGTTTTAATGGATTTCTGTGCAGGGTTAGAGTCAGCTGGTAGTCGGTGGGAGGTTAGTAGAGCATACCGGCTATTTTAAAGCTCAGTCATGTAGTTTTTAACATTTAATCAGTACGTATTATTATATCATTATAATAAAAATAAACATTATTATTGTAATAAAATGTTTTTTTAAGATAGTTAAAGGAAAGTGCTGTTGCTTCCCTGCTGAGCATCATCGGTCTGTTAGCTTTCTTTTAAAAACTAATTAATGGAACTAATGTAGTATCTGGTAGTGGGCAAAAACATCTGGAAATTGCCACTGCGGAAGACTAGTGTTTGATTTGTTTGTTTGTCAATCTGCAAGTCAAATTAGTGCAGCTTTAATATGTGATTTTTTTAATTGCTTGTGTTATGTTGTCCCTTTAAGGTTTTGTGGGAGCAAAAAGCTGGGATTAAGTTGGAATTATATGAATTGTAAAACTGAATTTCAGTAATAAAAAAAACCTCTTCCCTTCTTATACCCCTTGATTGTTCTTCCTTATGCTGGTCACCTGCAGTGTGTTGCTCCATATTCTTTCAAACATGACAACTTTCCAGCGAGTTTAATTCCATCAACACGTATCTCTGGAGGGAGCGACACGGAGTCTTTTCGGGAAAACGACTCGTCCCCTAGCGCTGTAAATTTACTCTTCTGCTTCGTTTATCGGCTGATTTCTTTCCCAGCATCCACCGAAGAGGGAAGGAGAGGAGAGGAGAGGAGAGGAGAGCGCCGCACCGACTGTCTGGGCCAGTTAACCGGCGACGAGAGCAGAAGACAGCAGGAGATGAAAGGAAGGGAAAAAGATTGGTGCTCCTGGTTTTGCAGTTTTCCGAAGGGCCCAGCTGTTCTCAAGTGGAAGCATGCCGAGGCCTGATCTGACAGCGCTCTGAAATGGTTACAAGCTTGATTCATTACCCCCAAATCATCAATCACGGACCTTAAATGTTTTCCCCTTTAGCCCCAACATCTGCTACCACACCGGCAAAAAACAGTCGACAAATAATGGCCCTGATTGCCTCAATTTCATCACCAAGTTTTGCTCGCGGAGGATCTGACGGTGCTCGAACTATGTTGCGGATTGACTGTGCAAAGCTTCTGGTTGAGAAATCTCTGTGTGAGGAGGAGATGGAGATATACCAGCCACTCAGCATAGCAGCAGGAGCATGCAAACAACTGCACTAAAACTATGATGAGTTCTTCCTCTGGTTAATCAGAGAACACTCTAATTACGCTCTATAAAACAGAGAGGGGGTTTCTCGTAAGTCTTCGCTTCAGACATGTGAATACGAGCACACTTAGCCAGCGAACAGGAAAACAAGTCGAGCTCTGACTGGAAGCATGACTCATTTTCTGCTCCACAAGTGTTAATGATGGGACGGCTGCCCACTTTGCTTCTTCCATGCATCCCATTGGCCCCGGAACAAAGTGAAAACTCATGTAAATAGAGGTCCTGATCTGCCAACCTGCGACATCTTTTGCCTTGAATTACACCGTATCCCTGACTGCTCTTGCTCACCAGAGAGAGTTCCTCGGGGGGGCTTTTTTTAAACCATTTAAAACAAGAGAAGCAGGCAGCATCCACTCGGAAACAGAGAGAGACAGACGGGTTTTTTTAGAAAAAGGGTAAGATTTGGAGTTGAGCGTTCACAGTCGCTCCGAGTTCCAGCAACAATAACAGACGGCAAACAGGGAGCGAGAACAGATTAGAGGCAGAAAACAGATGTGTCCATAAACGTGGAGGAAGCTGCGGGGCATCTCTCTCTCTCTCTCTCTTGTCTTCAGGATTGTTATAATCCATTTATCTCTCTCCTGCTCCCAATCCAAAGCGGCGTTGACTTCTCGGCGACGGTCGAATTCATCAATTAGAAGAATTTTTGGAAGTTTAAAGGCCACACGCGGTGAATAAAATTTTCCGTTTGCGGCTGCGGCTAATGGCTTTTGCAGTCGTTTGCATGACAAGGAGACAGGTTTGACCCGACACGGTTATGAAACGCAAAAACCAAACAAAAAGTGCGATGTTGTAGCACTTCCTTCATAAACAACCCTGAACAGCTAAAACGCTGATATAAAAACAGAAATTAAAGATGAATTATGCTGCCTGTGTTGTTTGTATTTGACCAAAAAAAATAAAAAAAAGGCGCTGTGAGTATGATTTTTGCTGCCCGAGAGCGCAGAATTACCACAATACATCTGCAGGAATGTTGACATGGCTGTTGATTACCACCAATGACTGTGTGATTGCTTTGCCAGGTGTTGGGATTTCTGGCGGTCAGACCTCGCTTGCTGGCCTGTTCGTCTGTTTTGGAATAAATACTCCCTGGCCATCGATATTCTGAGACGCGGCCAGTCTTTTTGTACTCGCACTTCAACCGCGGAGGATGTTTCTGCTCCTCCTGGATGTTGGGTTCAATTAATTAAGCCCTATTACTTAGCAAAATACACGTTTTTGTTGAATCTACGCTCTATTTAACTTCCATTCGAGCGTGTTTTGCGAAATTTGTAAGTAGAAACCCCGAGTTCTTGTGTTCGCATAAGGATTCGATTACTTAATGCCTTCATTAGGGGAAGAAGTTGCACTGTCACGGTGTTGGATGACAGGGCCAGCATCTTGTGTGCACCTGTGAAGATGTCTTGGCCCAGCGCTGGAGAACGTCCATCTTTGCCGTTGTAGAGGTGCTGCGAGGACGCCGAGCTCTGGAGGTGCTGCATGGACATGCAGTCGCTCAGGACGTCCTGCTCCAGGTGAGGGCAGGGCCGAATCTGCCGGGAACACACAGAGATCAGAATATACATCAAATATTTACGACAAACACAGCTATGTAGAGAGAAAACTCCTGCAAGATTTCACAACCAAAGAACAGAGCTTCAGTTTTGTCTGTTTGTGGGTTGGGCCCTTTGTGGGATGTGTTTTTGTGTTTTCTCATTTTTGCGATAATACGATAGTAAAGTTAACTTGAAACAGTAATTCAGCAAATAATAATAAATTGTCAGTCAAGGGGAACCAGAAGAAAGACCACATGCTTCTTGTTGAGTCATGCATTGGCTTTACACGTAATGGGTAACTGATCACGGTACCAACTCAGAGCCAATCTGAGATTTGCTTCTGTTTCTCCCGCTGCCAGCAGTAATGGGGGCAACTGAAGACACATTTCAGCTGGATACTCGATCACACGCCACGAAGGAGAAACTTAAAACCGAAGGAAACTTGTGTCACTTGGCGAAATGGGCCATCTGCCTTATGGATCAGTGCAACAGCTGACCTCTGTTGTATACATCAGCGGATTTCTGTGTAATAAAACATTACAGTTGCTGAGGTACACACCGGGACTGTACTAACAACCACGTCGCTCCTTCGCTCAGGAGGCTTCGCTTCAAAGACCCTGAAAAAATCAGCACAGGGAATGTGACGGTGCAATCGCTTATTATCTGATGTAGGCGGAAAGAAAAGTAACTTTAAACCAACAGTGTGTAATGTAACCATGAGCTAAGACTGGAGAAAGTGGGAAACTACCAAAGGTCTTACTGGAATCTGCCATGTACAGCTCAGTTGTTTTTTCCCCTAAAAGTGAAAGGATAGGTTTGGTTTCTTCTTGTCAACTAATCACACAAACCCAAGACTGAAACCAACCACGACATGATGCTTCTAACCTCATAACATGAAGCCTAATATAGTTGTTTCTTCTGCTCAACTGTTATCCACAAACTATTGAAGTCCCTCCTTAATCACTGATTAGACTCATAAAAACTCAACTCCCACAATAAAAATGACACATTAACAAGTTCCGTGGAAATAGCCTCTTCCTGCCTTACAATTGCTCAGATGTAAGCTCTAGAGACCTGCCGCCACCATAGACTGTATAAAAGATGGACGCAGCAACCGGCCCTGAAAAATGAAGCCAACCCGGAAGTGTCAAAAACCTGCAATATCACTACGTCCGCTAGCTGCTGGCTCCAAAAAGCCCTGGCTCCCATAGACTGGAATTGGAAAAGAAGTGATCACAGATCATGAAATACTGCATTCCTACAGCTCAGGATTTGTTTCTTATTAGTTTTTATAGTCAAATCCAGAGATCAGGTGGCCAATCTGAAGATAAAGCAACACTGAATCTTTTAAAAATCATCAACATTTTGCGGGGGAAGGGGCGTGGCTGGCTTGATTGACAGTCGGCAGCAACCATACAGACGAAGCGAGCAGAAGGCGGTAAATGTGGGCGGGCAGAGAGGGCCCGCCTCTCAATCCATCTGACCAATCACTGCTCCTATGGCTCCGCCCCCCTCCGTCACTGGCTCCAAAAATCCAAGATGTCAACCAGGAAGTAACAAAACCCTGGCTTCATTTTCTCAGTGCAGATACCAACGAGTGACGTCACGGTAGCTACGTCCATCTTTTATACAGTCTATGGCTGCTACGTGCTGCGGCTCGAGCACACCAGCTCACCTACAACTCTGCACAAACATTTTCAAACTTCTAAGTTGTAATATTGCACTAATTAAGCCATACAAGCTGGAATTGGAAACCTATTTTGAATATAATGATCCAGACTGACTGGTTTCTTAGATTTATTACGTTTTAAACTCTGTCTGTTTGAATCTGTGTTTTTCAGATTGGAAATGCTCACCAGACTGCTCATGATGAGTCTACCAGCTTGTAAAAATAGCATATGGGCATGTTAACGAGTTAAAAAAAAAGCTTGGAGGGGGCCTGTTGACTGATATGTTCCTTCAGTATGACGAACACTTACATAACTGACATTATTTGATTAGTTTATGGGGGAAAACATTTCATCATTTGAGATCTAATTTAAAACTATTTTGATCCAGTGTTAGGGCGTATTCTGTTACATCCTTTACCCTTCAATCTAAATGTGTCCACTGCTATATATTAGCAACACAACCATAGCGTTGACAGGGAGGTCAACTAGCTACTTTACTGTTAAACCTGTATGTTTAGTTAATTAATGCTTGGATCACACGTTTCCAGTTGTAACCCTCTGAATCCCAAGAAGTTTCTGTGCATTTATGCTCACATTTTCACTCACTGTGGGTTCATTTGTCACTCCAGTATAAAGTCCTGCACCTCTATGGAACCAACACAACCACGGATAGAAGGAGAGAGAGTAGTATGACAAAGTTATAATGCCAAAAGTCATTTTTAAAAATGTATGAAAGTTGAATTTTTTTGATTATGTATTCTACAAATATTAAAGACAAAAAAAATGGAATCAGCATGTACAGCATTTTTGCAGCTTCCCACAGATGTTAATGATACTGGAAACTAAATATTGGCTCTACATACAAGAGATATTTTACTACTTACACTTTTTATTTGTTTCCATACTTGTCTTCTATCTGTTCTGTGTAAACACGGCCTGCAGCGAGCTGAAAAATCCCTGAATTCTTGCCACATGACTGTTGCTCACAGTTGAGTCACTAATGTCTTCATGACTGTGCTGAGGAGAGCAGATTCTTTTTTTTTTTTACAGATTCTGGTTAGAACAAATGGTTCATTGTTGGTAATTTTTTTAACGAGACGTGTAGAACAAAGTGGATGGGATGAAATATCATCATTTTAAGAAGGGATTTGGTTGTTTACTGACCAAAAGATGCATCACAGATGAGCACTTTAATGACTGTCAAGTTGAAAATCCGACGATTCTTTCTGCTTTTACGGTTTCTGGCTCTGATAAATGGTGTCATTCTGTTTTTTTTCTTTAAAAAAAGATAACATGTGCTTCAAACCTTTATGGGCTTCAGAGGGTTGATTTAGTATTATGTATATCTCCAATAAACACCTGTTATAACTTGGCCGAATGTGAACGGATCATTTGCATTCAATATAAGTTTTTGTCATCATGCTGTGATGTGAACTATACTGACTAATCCATATTTCTCTGTGGAGTGTTTAATAGCAAGAAGTGATAACTTTATGATGCCAAAAGGCCCCAAAACCTGGCAGCGTTGCTGTGAGTCATATGAACCAGTGAGTCAAGTGTATTTTTACAACACAGAGCTCTATTTACAGGCGACAAGGACAAAGTCATCCATCGAGCTTTTTTCTTTTTTTTCCGCCCCGTCATCATTCCAGCGTTTTGAAATCAGTCAGATTTTCTGTCTGTCCATCGATGCACAAATCCAACCTCGGTTATTCCATAAAAATCAACTCCACATTTTTGATTTTGTGGCCGAACTGTGGGCGGAAAAAATTCCCCGCTCGTATCAACACATCGACTCTCTGCCCTCTGATTATTCCCACGGAGTTCATCCACCGCAACGAGCCAAGCGGACAGATGATTTTATCTCTGACTTCCATCTTTCAGGACCTTCAGCCTATCTGGCTCCTGGAATCACAAGTCATTAAGCTTTTCAACGTGCTCTCTTTTTTTTTTTTCTTAAAATTTTTACAGCTGGCATCATCCGCATTTTGATTTCACACTTAGATACTGTATATCAGTGGATGTGTGTGTGTGTGTGTGTGTCCTCCTGGGGATCATCATGAGTGCCCAGAGAAGCATTCATCACATGTAATTGGTGCTCTGTTTTCTCCACAGCGACACTCCTAACAGTTTCTTTTTTCTTTCCTTTTTCTGGGCCGACTCCAAGAGTGGAGTAAGAGCGTTTGTTTGACATTTGTCCATAACATCTGGCCACTGGGGTATTCCGCACTACAGCTTATTAACAATGCTACAAGCACACATGTGTTTCCCTTTACGGCGCTAAGCAAAGGAACACATCATCCAGCCCTGCCACTATCCAGCCCTTTCCACAACAATGAGCCCTTTCTCTCTGTTATTTACTCGCTTCCAGTCAGGGGAAAGAATGAGCTTTTGACCACGAGCACGATGAAATGTGGTCGAACCTGATCTATTGTTGGGGGAAACGATTCTCAGAGATGCCCCTCCATCCCCCTTCCCCCCAGACCCCAGCCTCAAAACCCCTCAATTAAACCGACTAAATGGATTTGCGGATAATGCGCATCGGAGCAGGAGAGATTATATGAAGTGGTCTGTTTGTACAACTTGTAGCTCTGCTGTATTGACTTGAAGAAGGTTTACACTGGAGGCTGAGCAGGAAGAAAGATAAACAGCAGCATTCAAGCTGGTTATACAGTTGGGATGTAGCCTACACAGGAACAAAACCGCCCATATGTGCTGAACATATGCCAACTGTAAACAGGATTTAAGGGATCATCACTTGGATTAGATAAACCTGTCTGAATCGCAAACATTGTCTTAATGGGTCCCGTTGACATTATAATGTTGCATCAGTTTAATATTGCGTGTAATTTAAACTCAAATGTCTGTGTTGGTGGTTTAAAGCTAAATTCAAGTTGAGGTAACTTAATGAAAATGACTTCGTAACTTACATTTTCTTCACTTCAAAAAATAATTCAAGGAATCTATTCCTGCAACTTAATTAAATGCATGGCTGCAGGATAAAACAATTCAATTTACTAACTGATAGAAACCTTTAAAGGTGTAAACATTACTTTGATGGGTTGGATTGTGACAATAATGCTGGTAATTGCATCAATTTAATATCATGTGAAATTTAAACTTGAATTCAAGCTAAATTCAAGTTGAGTTAACTTAATGAAGTTAACTTGATAACTTAATCTCAAGTCCCCTTCCCTTTTCTTATCTTAAGACTGATAATTTAAAATATCTATAATTAAAGAGGAAAAGCTAATTTTCTTTAACTCAATTTAGTTCGTTGGTAGAGCATCATTTCATTAGAAGTTGCCATAACTCAAAACAAAAGCAAACTGTTGTTCTATTTTTGTTGTTGTTGTGTGTAGAGTTTTTAGAATGACAAATGGACCATGACAGATAACCTTTAACAGTATTGCAGACTTCAAGCTCAATTTTTGCTTTAACTCAATGCTCAAAAGACAAAAAGAACTGCAAATACAAATAGTTTTTGACTCTTTTTGCCCCTTTGCCTTTTCTTCCCACATCGCTGGTTGATGTAAAGTTTGTTTCCACTCCAGCACAAAGCATCTTACCTTCCTACGCACCTGTTGCTCTTTGGCCGAGTGGATCTTGACATGTTTACGAAGGGAGCTGGGATCCGTGTAGCGTTTGGTGCAGCCGGAGATCTGACATGCGTACGGTTTCTGTGGCGAGAGAGGACGTATTATAGAATAAAATGCATTTAAATTCAATTTACAGAGCAACAAATACACTTTACCAAGGAAGAAGCAGAACAGCGAATGGAGAAAGTGCAAAAAGAAGCGACACTGAAGATGTGAAACTTGTTGAAGCAAAGGCAAAGTTAAAGTCCTACCTTTCAGCTGAGAAAGACTTAATTTGAAGAAAAAGGGAAGAAGGGCAGAAAAAGGATGAAAAGAAATATTTTAATAACAAAATATCTTCATGTAAGACACAATTTATTTATTGTTCAGGATTTAAAGCTAATTGCTGTATATTGTGTTTCACTACAGCTGCATTTACAGTATCCCACTTTTTTTTTTTATATCCCCTCTCACCGGTAAGGCGATATACGTCTTTATTAGCTCTGGCTCCATACCTCCACCGTCTCTCTAAATAAGCCATTGTTATTCCAAGACGCAAACAGTCCCACTCATATCCGCCATATTTATTTTGCCAAGCAACGTACCCAACACAGCACAGAACTCCCCCGAGTAAAAAAAAAAAAAAAAATCAACTTCTGTGTAGGCGAAATATCATTAAAGCTTGAGAACGATTTTCCCCCAAAGTGTTTCTGGCAGGGCAGGCGGCTGGGCAGGCACCGCGAAGGCCTTAGCGGGGTGTTAATGTGAAGCCATAAGCATCGGGGTCCCAGATTAGCTGTATCATTTGGCCTACTGTGGAAAGAGTGGGTGGTGGAAGAAAATCCATTACTGATAGAATAACACAAGTCCGCATTCACATTTCTACGTAGCTGAAAATTCTGAATGATTTACTATCGCATGCAGCAAACGTACTGGTGGCTGGCCAGCGCACGAACACAGGGGAAAGTATTCTGGTAATATAAATATTATAAAAATACTGCTGAAATGAAATTGGTTTTCAGTTAATCTTTCTTTTTTTTTTAAACAAGGTAGTGAATGAAAGAGAATTTCAGCCACTTAAGCTCTCTTTGCGCTCGGCATTTATTCTCTCTGTGCTCGTAAAGTCTAAATCCACCTTTCTGACCAGTTAATGGAAAATAAGGGGGACCTCTTTCCACAGTGTTAAATAAGGAGAGACCCTCTAATATTATTCAGATCACACAAAGGCTGGACAAACAGACTAAAGAACAGTTTCTATCCACGGGCCATCAGGCTCCTGAACGCAGCATAAACACATACATCGCTGCTCCATCCACACAGACTGCTACCTCAATGTCCACACTGTATATTTATTTATATATTTATTTAACTATTTATCATTCTCTCATCTGTGCAATACCTGTCTATGTGCAATATGGGGTCTTCTGTAACTGATCTTGGTTGTAAATATTACACTGGTTTATTTCTCTGTATATTGTTTTTATTACTATGTCTATTATGTTTATATTTTCAATGCACCTTAATATGGCAGCTATCTTAAATGTCGTCATGCACCATGCTTGATGACAATAAAGCATTCTATTCTATTCTAATACAGTATTCTAAGGTTCACAAATTAGCTTTAGAGGAGGAAAAATCTGCACTTTTGTTATAAAATAAAACAAATGAAGGTTATATATGTCACCTGTCTGTCCATCCTAGAATAGAAACGCCTCCTGTTTCCTAATCTTTTCCTTTTGTTGGGCTTTTTCTTTCTGTGAAATGAGGGTCAAATGTTTTTCAGATTGTAAAACTCCCCCGAGACAAATTTGCAATAAAATAAGTGATTCTAATCCAATACGCTTTCAGTTTCAGCCAATATCTCTTCGTGGTCTGCTAGCCGGCCGTTCTGTGCTGCAAAAAAAAAAAAATCCAGTTTTTGTACACAGAGTGGCTCCAATTGATCTGCACAATATTATTTCTGTGCACGTTCAAGCTTGTGCATGTTCAGGACGGAGGGATGTGAGGGCAGAATGGTAAATCTGGCAAATGCTAACTGTCTAAACAGGCTAACTTGCTAATCATAACAATCTTTCTGCAGAAATGCAGACTTCATCCCTCTTTAACTTGACTGTAAAAAGACTCTATGGCAGCAGCAAAAAACTGTAAACTCTGAATTTGGAGTCGTATAAACACCTGCTTTACAACTGCATGAAATATATATTTTACCTCATGTAAGGCCTACTCAGTATTTCTGTGCTGGTTGGTTTTAACTGAGAAAGTGCATATTTTTCATTAATTTTGTGTTTCTATTAGCATCATCAGAATGAGTTTAGGTTGCAGCAGTGTGATAAAAAAAAAAAAAGAAGTGTAAATTATATTTAAATCAAGTGGAGAAAAGTGGAAAGTTCCCTCCAACAGCAGAGAAAACAAATAACCCCGACTTACTTAAGTGCATAATTTGAGCCAAACAACTTATTTACTCCCTGGCTGTGTTGGCGTGCGGATGGTGATAAAGTGGGTGGTAAATTGGTGGAGTTACTGAGACATGACGAGTGGCAGCGATGGCTGACTCAACCTTTCCTTCCCGTTGCACAGGTCGGGGGGAAAACAGGCGAAGCTCTGTCTGAGCCTCAGCTCCGATCCAAGTCCGTTACGGGCGCAAACTGCGACTTGGTCTAATGGCACTGATCGTTTAATGATCTGTGGCGTGTCACTGCTCGAGCAGAGAGAGCGAGAACGCCGCACGGCTCGCTGACTGACAGCAAATTAAAGTCTAACACTGTCAAGATGTGGAAATACCCATCGAGGCTTGGATGGCGACGCAGTTTTTTTTAATGCTGTAAAAGCAAAGGAGGGGTACGGCATGAGCATACATCACACATACATCACTGCTCGCTTCTCTGCAACTACATTTTTGCATTTTTGCATAAAGTAGAACCCTAAATGGATTTAATAGAAAGTAAATGCAGCCTTTATCTGACACATGTAAACATTTATAGGTCATAATTTTATGCGGCAACCCCTTCCGACCACCCAGGACTGCTTTAACTGTTGGCCCAGGACTTTTTAAAACATTAATCCACTCTGGTGAAACATCGGGAGGTGAGAGAGCAGGGACTCTGACCGTGTCCAGGTGAGTGCGCTGGTGCTTGGCTCGATCGCTGGAGTTGCTGAAAGCTTTCTGGCAGCCGGGGTGCTGGCACAGGTAGGGCTTTTCTCCTGTGTGGCTCCTCAGGTGGATCTTCAGGTTCTCCAGACGGGAAAACGCTTTGTTGCAGCCCTCGAACTGTGGAGGAGGAAAGGGAAGACACGATAATATCACATGGGCACAAAGACAACCAACGCCGGGGCAGGTACGCACGAGACCACACAGGAGGGGGGGAAATAAACTGAACGCCCACGTGCACAGAAGAAAAGAAATCAATCAGTGTAAAGCTGTAAATTTGGGTACAATGTGGGTTCTGTATATGTGTGACTCAGAAATAAGTTGTCCCACTCTTTCCCACACACACACACACACTCTCCACAACACATTCAGCAGCTATTGAAAATGCTTAAGAACACGGGTGGCATAGTTGTGAGCATTTTTTCCATGGCTCTTGAGTTACGCTGCCAATCCAAGGACCTTTTGTTGAAACCACATCTACTTCAAAAAAGCAGGTCTGACGGTACACCTGCCTCAAGGCCGCCGCCGCCGCCGGGGAGGGGGGGAAACTGGAGTGTGCCATACAGCGGCGCTTAATGGGCTGTAATGCATAGCACGAGATAAGTATTCTGCTGCGCATAGTGCATTAGACTGACAAGTGACAGTGACTGTAAACAAGCTCATATCCGACCCAGCTTGGCTCATTTGATCCCAACCACTCAGCCAATGAACACCACAGATTTGTTAACATGTGAATGATTCATGAGGCGTCTCGCATGTCCGCCGCTGCTCTTGAGCAGAAAACGCGGCTGATTGGCGGACGAAGGCGGTTCCCCCCGTCAGGACCCCCCGCAGGGACCGCTGGGTAAAGAGTCACAAAGTGCACAGTGCGCACAATAGTATGGGAAGCATAGTTCAGTGTTGCATGTATTCACTTAATCCCCACAGTGGATGCATCGCCGTGAGACAGTCGAGGATCTACTTCTGTGCAGACACTTGTTTAAAACACTGACAGCGAGCGATGAAAGTCAGATCAAAACTATAAACTGAAAATTTAACTTAAATGTTTGCTTGTTTTTAAACAGTTTAGTAACAAGTTGTAACACGGTTTCTCTTACAGCTCTTCATGTGCAATAACATCATGTTAACGCTGATTTTTAAATGACTTTTTGAGGGCAATAAAGTCAGAAATGTAGCACTGCTATTCTGTACGTACAGTTCTATATTTACAGGTGGCTACTTTATCCATCACGCCACATCTGTACATATCCATGTGTATATCCATTATGCCACATCTGTACATGTGGAAGGTGTACATAGTTTTTATTATGTCTTAACTTTCAGCCTTATTGTACTTTTGTATTTCTTGTTGTGTTTCTTCAATGCTGCTGTATCATGTAAATTTCCCCAGTGAGGGATCAGTACAGTTTATCTTATCCTATTTTATCCTATCTAATCGTATTATATCCTGTCTTTTCCTATCTTATTTTATCTTAATCCAAGTTAATCATATCCTTTACCTTATCCTGTTATTATAGTTTGTCTAATCCTATCAAATCCTGTTTTATCTTATCCTATCTTAATCTTATCCAATCTTATTTTATCCTATCTTATTTTGTAACATCTTAATCATATCCTATCTTAATCTGATATCATCCTATCTTATCCTGTCTAATCATATTATATCCTGTCTCATCCTGTCTTTTACTCTTATTTTATCTAATTTTATCTTCTTATCCTATGTTATTATAGTTTGCCTTATCCTATCTAATCCTGTCTTTTCTTATCCTACTTAGTCTTATCTTATCTCATCCTATTCCTATCTAATCTGAATTTATCCTATCTTATCTTGTAATATCGTAATCATATCCTATCTTTATTGTATCTCATCCGATCTTATCTTATCTTAATCTTATCTTTTCCTATCTTATGCTAACTTATCTTATCCTATATAATCTTATCCTGCAATATCTTAATTTGACCCTATCTTATCCTTTCTTAATCGTATCTCATCCTATCTTATCCTTAATTTATCTTATCCTATCTTAATCTTATCCTATTGTATCCTATCTTATCTTATCTTAATCTTATCTTATCCTAACTTATCCTATTGTAGAAGTTGGACACTACCTTCTAAGGTACCACATTTCTGCACAGGCCTGAGCTGATCTCACTACAAACAGAACTTCATCTACAACCTGTCGCCGCCATGTTGCGGTCTCTGCTGTCCATTGTGCCGCTGACCTTTAGTGAAGCCGGCTGACAACAGGTCGGGTTACGGCTAAGGAGACACCATTCTTCTAATGGGCCTTCAGCTACATCGAGGCTCAGTGCTCATCCCTGGTCTTCTTCATTCACTCAGGCAGCACCAGGCCAGGCCTTCTATTCACCCGGGCTCCATTTAATATAGGCGAAACCTAAGCCTGTCATGGTAGAGCCGTTTTGGGTGACCATGCTGATCTGTGCATGTGCCTGTGCGGCTCAGTAAGAGAGTCTTAATCTGCCCAATTATGGCCGCACAACACATTGATCCTCGTGAGGTTTAAAAGAGCTTTGAGTCGATGAGTTTGGAAACAAAAGCTTTGTTTTGCAGCGATGACACGGATGCTTTTCTCTCTAATTGTATGAAGTTGCACTAAAAATATACGGCGATGGTGAAGCTGAGCAAACACACAGGATGTGGGTTTATAAGTGCTTCCAAAAGAGAGCTAAGCCTGACATTTAAACTTGACATTGATATCTTACTCTGAGAAAAATAAAGATGCTTCTCAGCGAAACCATTTTTTTTTCTGATCAGCTAAACTTCTCCAAAGCACCAACACACATTCACAAAATACAAATACAACAACTTCACCTCATTAAATTACAAAAAAAGGACTATTTGTATAATTACGGCTACTATTCAAGCACTTAGCAGTAATAAAACATGTTACTGATTTACCGATTCATGTGTCTGGATGCCGATTTGACTATGTTTTGTTCTTTAGAAATGATCATATAACACCTTGTCTACCGATTTTTACTATGTGGTTGCAGAGACCTTGTAATCAGAGACCTCACAGTTTGATATTTTTCTTGTTTTTTCCCCCTTCCGATCTAATTTCTGTTTAGATTCAGCTCGGTTTCAGTGAATTTCCAGAGTGGGTTTTGCTGTCACTTTGGGTTATTGTTCAGAATGTTCAGCCTGCTTTAGGGCTTTCTGGTGAGGTTCTGTCACTGTTTTTTTATATTTTTGTTTATATTCTGTTCCTTATATATCCAGTGTAATTCATTACTCTTAACCATTGATGGGTGGGTTTTTCTTTTAGGTAAAATGCTCCTTTTCCAGATGATATGACAGAGATAATGTTGTTATTTCACTGGCGACAAGAGTGTCACATTTGACACTTAACTTTCTAATTTCAAGGCCCATTTGTGCACCTTTGATTGGACTGATGTTACTTTAATTACCCACATGTTTTAAAATATGTTATCAATTTTACCTGGAACCAAAAATCTGACCAATTCAATTTTCAATATTATAATAAGCTGAGGTAAGGCTTAGTGGTGAAACGTCTACCTATAGTGCCAATAGGAAATGCAGAAAACATGCAATGTGATCACGTCTACAAGGTCCGAATTCCTGCAGCAGCAATGCAAACTTGCAGTTAGGAGCACCGAAATGAAAGATGAGGAAAAACATCAATGTCGACATTACGCACGGACAAATGCTGTCCAGCGTTTGGCCTTCATCCAAGGAAAATGTCTTTAAAAGATCACACAATCCTGTGTAGCGGAAACTTATTATTCTAGACTTATGCCAATCAAATGTTTTGGATGGAAACGAGGCCGGCAGCGACGGTGGGAAAGTTTAATAAAAATCTGAGGAACATCCGCACCGCCACAGCAGTCATGACAGACGCAGTCCATGCTGACTGCTGAAACATGGCGCCGAGCATTTGGAGTTCGGAAAACAAACACGGCCGTTATTGACGTGCCAAACCTGTGTATTTATGCATAAGGGAATAATCACTCTTTCATTGCTTTCTTTTCCGCAATACAAATTTGAGGCTAAATTATAGTTAGGGGTCCGTGGAGGAAACCGTGTTAATCGTGTCGAGCGTATTATTACTCGGGGAGCTGGACTCGCAGGGAGACGGCCGGAGGTTTTCCTGCCTGCTGGGAAGCCAATAGGCACTGCCACCTCTAGGCATGGACGCTACCCAGAAAGCCTGCATGAAAAATTTTATGCTCGACGTAAGATGTTTAAGTGTGGCCAATCTGCCGGGTTAAATGACTTCTTTCAGTGAGTTCAGTGGCTGTCAGGTTCATTTTGTAACTTTGTGGTGCTGTTCAAATGAAATGCACTGCCGGTACTGAAGGATGTGAAACAGTGATCATGTGGGCTTTATTTTTGGTTAAGGAGGGGAAAAAAGCAACCCAATGCAATTACACATCCCAGGTTATGTGTTTTCATTCCCACTAGACTGACCGATAAAAGCCTCTAGAAATAATATATGCACGTTTGGAAGCTTCATCCACGAGGAAAAATAGAATCTGTATAGAAAGCAAGCATGGAGAGATCAATTTTACCTTTGATATCGGCTATGAAAACACTTTAGCCGGTGCTAATCACATTAATTGCTTTAAACATGTTTAGCTTTCCTCTCTGAAAAGCCCCGTCTCGCAGTAAACCAGCCCCATCGCCACACGAAGCCCTGTTTGACACCATCTCACTCTGGAGTCGGGGGGCTCAGGAGCTCGGTAAACATTGGGGATGACAGCGGGGTCCTGACACGGCTGAAGGGGGCTGAGAGCGGGTTGAAAGGCGGGACGGGCAGCTGATCACAACAGACAGATTATGGGCCCAGCATGCGGACGAGTGGAGGTTGCGTCGCGCCTGAGGCCTTCATGGGAAATGACTCCTGACTGGCAGGGAAAAAAGGCCAAACAGTGTCGGGGCTAAAAGGCGGCAGTGTGCCGCTCGCTCCCCGCATGCGGCGGCTCATTAGCAAACCTGCAGGAGCTGCGGACCACGGGAACAAACCGGCCGTTATGGAGGGGCGCTGGGGGAAATATGGCTGCTGACATGTGCAAAAGAAATCTGATTAAAAGCCTTAATGAATGGCAGAAGAAGAAGAAGAAGGATGCAGAGAGAATGA